AGCACCCTGGACTGCCTGGTCTTTTAAATGCTGCGTGTCGGCACAGCGGGGAATCTCATTATTGGCAATACAGGTCCAGCAGCGGTGAAGTTCGGTCTCGGGCTCAACCTCACAACGGGGACACAGGATAGAGTCGACCTTCACCCCCGCCTGGGAGAGCCGAGCCTTGGGCCAGAAACCTGCCGTCATGACCGTGCTGAGGGAACCTCGAAATTTGTTGGACCCCTTCTTGGCCAACGCACGCATCATTTTTAAAATATCAGTGGTTTCGGCGTCTTGCTCTAGCCCCCCCCCCCATTATAATGCTTAGAAGCGTGGGCCCAGACGGAGAGCCTCAAGGTGTCTCTGAAGACCTCCAAGAAGGGCTCCCAGTCAGGGTCCAAGTCGAAAGTATCTTCACTCACCTCATACTTATCGCCAGTCGGGTGGGTCCACTTCCACGGTCCCTGGGGATCCCAACCCGCGGAGAGCAAAACAGAAATCGTGCCCGAGATCAGGCCGTTTATCTTCCTCCACTGGCGGTTCTGAAGGGGTGACGCGGAAATTCTTCAAAATGATCGGCCATGCTCTGGCCGCTCCCTTCCTGAAAGCATCTGACGAGGCGAGCATGTCAAACCGCAAACTGATGGTGGCTGTGGGCAAGGAGATAGCAGGGTCCTGGTCCCCGTAGTCAATGTGCAAGGCCGTGGTCAGACATCTACCTCGAGCTTTCGAGGTGGCGAAACGACCTAGAGACCTGCGGAGCTGGAGGAGGGGCTCGGCAGAGAGGGGGATGACCGTGGTGCGATAGCCAATCCTAGGGATGATGCCAGTGGTGGCAATGCTGCGGACAGCACGGGAGCCTGGCGTGCCACGAGCGATCTTATTCAACTTCCGAGCCTGCCATGATGCTAGCTTTTTCCTCGCGCGATGCTTGGATGCCTGGTGCAAACGGCGGTGGCCTCTCTCGATGCCGAGGTCCGCAGCAGCTCCGAGATTCTTTACCTGTAGGCCAGCCTGTCTTAAAGCTGAGGTGAGCTCTGCTGCGGGGACCCTGTCGGGGGCTATAACAGCCGACATGCCCGAAAGCTGAAGGCCGTCGGCCGTGACTCCCGCAGAAAACTGCGTGGCCGCCTCCGTGAGGGATTTGACAACGGCCCTGCGAGGCCCCTCCTGGCGGAAATTCTCATCGTCGACCCAGGATTTGGCGACGAGCCCCTTGGAGAAGAAGGCCCGGTGGACCGAGTCCAGGACAGGAAAAAGAAATGCAGTAGCTCCGTTATATATACACACGTATATATATATATATATACATATATATATATATTAATATTTTTAAGATATATATATATATATAAATAATAATAATAAAAAAACATCCCACAGCCCGCAAGGGTCCCTGAGGTGGCCAAGATGGGATCGCTGCATGAGGAACGCTCTCTTTAATTCCGCGGGCCCATGTAAAGCTGGGCCGATAGGAGAAGGACCGTGGGGGAGTGCCTTAGGTCCAAGCACCTGTGCATACATAAGTAGGCCTACATCAAGGGGGCCATGCAATTCTTATATGTCAAAAAGAATGCTGGCGTGTGAAATACCGATGGCATCTGCAGCTTCGTCCATGAAATGCCTGCCAACTGCCGCCCTGAGGGCGCTGCTGCCTCGAATGGCCTCGCCCCAGAGACCCGCCTCCCCCTCCAGCCAGTCCCGAGAGATCTGATTACGGAGGGGGCTCCAGAGCCTGGGCAACCAGCACAGAAGGGCGATCACCCGTTGGCCGCCAGAGTCCTTAGGCAGGAGGCCGATGATAGATGGCAGCAGCTGCCAAGGCCAGGCAAGATTCGCTTCCGCTGCGTGGACAACTTGCAGCAGCTCGGTTTGGCCCTGGGGTCCCAGCTCCTGGATGTCCCGAGGGCCGAGGTTCTCAATCCCACGCCCAGTCTGGACAGGGATCTGCCGCAAAGCCCCTTGGAGGTGCTCCAAGGCGAGCGCTGGGAGGGATTCGTTTTTGGCAGAGGCGCGGCCTCGCTGGAAGGCCGACTCGACCCTCTGCCACGCCGCGTTCAACCCGGGGGCCGTCCATTTTGCAGCCCATCGGGACCTACGCAGG